GAACAGACTACCCCCAAGCCTACGAAAAAGTTATTTTCAAAGCCTACACGTGCACAAACACACACGCACGCACGCACGCACGCACGCACGCACGCACGCGCGCGCGCACACAGACAAGCTCTCACACACGCACAAACACGCACACACTTACATACACAAACACACACAAATGCACCCAATGAACGGACGCGTTCTACCCCCATCCCCAACACACACACACACACACACACACACACACACACACACACACACACACACACACACACACACACACACACACACACACACACACACACACACACACACACACACACACACACACACACACACACACACACACACACACACACACACACACACACTAAATACTGACATATCTGTGCTATTGCCCTGACGCCCGTCCAGATAGACTTGAATCACCTGGAGGGTCTCCACGAGAGAAAAAGCTGGACTGCTTAACTAGTCATGTCATGTGGGATTTAACACGTTTTTTTCGAGAACTCGCTGTAATCGTTGTGAAATAGTGCTATCTTTCATGTTGTGACCATGGTGTGCACCAGTTACAAGACGACCTCGAGATGGTTCTGAGTGCCAAGGTCAAGGTCATGCTCAAACCCGGTACGAATCAAATGGTTGACGGTTGTAAAGATAGTGTGTGATGGTAGGCGTGATGTCGGCCACAGAGAAAGGGCATTGCGTTATTCGACAGTTTCATTTCGGAATTCGATCAGAACTTTTAGAATATTAAACCGAGATGTCGACCAACGTTTCTTTTGTGTATGTCCTAAAGAGCAAAACATTGATGAACAGCGTCATCGCATGCATCATAATGTACCATTGTTTCATATTCAGGTTTGTTTGTTTGTTTATGTGTTAGTTGTTTCACACTGCACTCAGGAACATTCCAAGTATATGCCGACGTTCTGTAAATAATCGAATCTGGACCACACAATCCACTGATTGACATCATGAGCATCAATCCACGCAATTGGGATATCAAGTCAGCGAGCCTAACCGACCGATCCCGTTAGTCGCCTCTTACGACAGGCATAGTCGCATTTTAAGACAAGCATGGGCTGCTGAAGACCTATTCTCTACCCGGATCTTCACGGGTCACCTGTACTGACAGTGACTGCAGACACCCTGAGTAGTTCGATCTGGTCCTCCATGATTAATGGTAATTCTGGGTGATAACACCTCCGATTCTGGGAGATAAAACCTCTGATTCTAGGTGATAAAACCTCTGATTCTGAGTGATAAAACCTCTGATTTTGGGTGATGAAACCTCTGATTCTGAGTGGTAAAACCTCCGATTCTGAGTGCTAAAGCCTCCGATTCTGAGTGATAAAACCTCTGATTCTGGGTGAAAAAACCTCTGATTCTGAGTGATAAAACCTCCGATTCTGAGTACTAAAACCTCCTATTCTGAGTGATAAAACCTCCTATTCTAGGTGATAAAAGCTCCGATTCCGAGTGATAAAACCTCCGATTCTGGGTGATAAAACCTCTGATTCTTGGTCATAAAACCTCCGATTCTGAGTGATAAATTCTCTGATTCTGGGTGATGAAATCTCTGATTCTTAGTCATAAAACCTCTGATTCTGACACAAATCACAGAGTTATCATATCATTTAATCGGTCATCTGAAGAAGTCAACACCGCTAAAGGAGCATCCATTTTGTAGGTTTCTAGGTACAGGAGGTGGGGGTTAAATGAATACACGTAGTTTGTTCAGAAATATGCCCAGAATGAATAGTTCGATGGCAGTGGTGACAAAGTTAACAGTTGGTTATGTAGAAAATACCCAAACGTCAAAATTGTGTGTTAATATTGGCAATGAAGATATTGTTTGATTGTGCTTAGTAAATAAATAGTTTGTTAGATACAGCTGGGGAAAATAGATTTTTCGCAACAACAAAAAAACTCTCCCTGCACCGATGTTCTGGAAGACCACGTGGCCGGCCCTCTGTGCAAGACCAATTCAACCCCACACCACGATGCTGATTTCTTGGCAATCTTGGCAATTGGTAGCAATTCAACAACGAATGAATGTTATTCGATCTGGTGGATTATTATAGGGCAAGAAATGGGGGAGCGCATGTGCATTTCAATTTGCAAGGAACTCACGTGCATCGGGTCACCATGGCCGTTGCCGTGATGCGTTTGGGCGATCGGTTTTATTGTCATCTGCTTTGTTTTTTTATCATCAAATTTCATTTTTCCGTAATGTAAGGTAATGTTAAATTTTTGAAACTTTGGCAAAAATGATATGATATGATATGATATGATATGATATGATATGATATGATATGATATGATACGTGTGCAACACGTGTACGGGGGCGGAGTCATAATCATATGATCATATACATATTATAGTGAGAATCATTCGACACGTGTACAACACGTACGATCATAATATTATCAGTATACAACAAATAATGAATTGACTATATAGGTGTACAATACATTGTATTTTAGTGTTTAACGGATGGTTATTTGAAAGTCATTCATAACGAGAAAACATGTCGCCGCAACAGTACACTGTTTTGTCACCGTCAATATAATACGAGGATGGAGCCGAGTCATGTTTCATTGATACCAAGTTGCAGGCAAACCATTGTTATGAGTATGTGACCGCCTCCGTGGTCTAGTGGTAGAGCGTCCGCTTGGAGAGCGGAAGGTTCGGGGCTCGATCCCCGACCGCGTCATACCAAAAGACGTTAAAAGATGGTACTTGTTGTTACCCTGCCTGGCGCTCGGCTAAAACAAGGACTGGTCGGCTCGGAGCCAGTATATTGTGTCTGAGTGGGGTATTCATGTTAAACTGCGGCATGGTATCTCAGTGAGCTAGCACTATAAATCGGCATCAGTCCGGACTAGTACAAGCAGCCACACAAACACACACACGTACATGCACGTCGCTATATAAGTGCAATGATCTTGGACGCGACGTTAAACCCCATTTCACCTCACCTCACCTTGTTTTGAGTATGTGTCACTGAATGTAGGAACTTACTTGTTATTGGCATTGGTTCACATACTCATATTTGGATGTTACCGTGCAACTAGTATACTAATATATAAAAATATACGTTCGTGAGAGGCAGAATTGTCTAGACATTAAGTCAATGATAATTTTCACAACGCTACGATACAGTCGAAATAGATCTAACCTACACCTAACGTATTAAGATCGTAGCTAACAGAATACGTTAATATTTAAAGTCAATTGTGTCTTACCTTGAAAAACAGAGAAGGCTGCTGAGTTGAAGAAGCAGAGTGAGGTTGTTATCACCGGCCGCCATTTGTACAACTCAGGCTCTCATTAGTCCCACTCTAACAATATTGCATGCAAATTTGAGTCAAATATAATAAAGAATTATTTAATTCGAATGGATGTATATTTAGCCAAATGTTTCATAAAACCAAACATAAACATGATTAGCATGCATACTCATATTACGAAACGTTTTCTATGTGCCAAAGATCTTAAAATTGTAACACCTAAAAACTAGTAAGATGACTTATCTGTATACTGTATAACAACTGTATACCATCATAGGCCCATTTGTCTTATTTCGACACTCTTGCAAGTAATGATCTTAGTATTGTCTGAATTGAAAGATAAGTTATGTTCTTTATTGTTAAGAAATAAAAGCGACAAACAGTTTTCACACTCAGTATAAATCTCTGCTGAATGCGGAGTCGATTCATGAGCACGTGTTTATGAATCACTATCAAATAGTTATGATAAAAGGTGTTCGCGTACCCTGCCCCACCGGTGCCCCCCGTCACAAACACATGCAAAGGCAAGTCAATTGTTCACCTGAAACAAACACAGGAATATTTGATACAAGTCAAAAGAGGGAATTGCATCGGACATGAGTTTTGTCACCGATGCGTCAAATTTGGAACAAACTTCTTCACGTCAAGACATTGTTGTAGTCTCAGAAAAAATACATTTGTAAAATGAAGCCATAACTTACAACTTCAAGGTGAAATGTCACACAATTAAAAACACATTAAATAGTTTTGTACTATCAACTTTTCTGGTTATTTGAATATTCCATAAGTTGATCCTGTTAATGAAATCAAAAGCTTTAGAAATAGCTATAAAACATTGCATATATGTTCCATCGCTTTTTTGGATTGAAAAATATATACTTTGTAAAACTAAACCCTTTGCAGAATGTTTGTTATAAATATCCCTCTGTATGTATAATTCAGTTGTGCGTCGGTACCATCAAGAAAAGTAGGACCTTTCAAGTAAAACATTAGATAAAGTTTCAACATGGGGAATTAAAATGTCTTGTTCATTCATAAAGACCCCCGCAATATTGATTTATTGTAGCTGTTCATTTCAAGTAAGGTGTGGGTGGTTGGCTAGCTTAATGGTGAAAGCGTTCGCTCGTCACGCCTAAGACCCAGGTTCGATTCCCGACATGGGTACAATTTTGTGAAGCCCCTGCCTGGTGTTCCCTGCCCTGTAATTGCTGGACTATTGATAAGAGCGGCGTAAAACCATACTGACACACCCATTCACTTGTTGGGAGAGTCAATGCGGGGACTACATGGGTAGCCTGGTATGCCATCCTCATTCTGATTATCATTATCAAGGTAAATAAATACTACCTGAGTCTTGAAATACCTTCAAAATAATATATTCGGACTACATCTTACATTGATGAAACCTCGGACACATAACTCTAAAATTGCTTAAATTATTTATATTACTATCTTGTCAGTGAACGAGTATTGTTTTACGCCGCCTATAGCTATATTCAGGCAGTATCACGGCGGGGACACCAGACATGGGCTACCCATGCAAAGGCAAGTCAATTGTTCACCAGAACAAACACGGCACAGATGGTAAGTCAAATCAGGGAATTGTAAAGACTGGAGCTGGTGCAATGACATACATAGCTTGTGAATTACCAACATTAGTCCTGTTCACTGCTTTTGGACTTGAACAGGTCATACACGGCCTTGTGTCCTTCTTATTTTGCTATCGTAGCTGCTGTTTTCCCACGACTGTTCTTGGTGTCAATGTCCGCATAGTCCTTGGACAGGAGATACTTCACCATCTCCTCCTGTCCATACAAACAGGCCAGATGAAGGATGTTGTTACCGTGCTCATCAACCAGTGGCACGTCAGCTTTAGCTTCTATCAGTACGTCAAACACGTCATGATGTCCCCGTGAAGCTGCTTCCATCAGGGGTGTCTGCCTGTACGCCCCTCTGCTGTTGATGCCAAGAACGTTCTGTGAGAGAACATACTTGACTATTTCCACGTTTCCTCCAAAACAGGCCGCTTTCAGGACATTGTCACGATGATCAGCATACAAAGTCATATCGGCCCCTTTACTTATAAGATAGTCAAACACATGCTTATGTCCTCTCATGGCTGTCTCAATCAATGCCGTTCTTCTGTACTGTCCTCTATTGTTGACGTGTACTCGACCGTCAGACAAGATGCGTTTTACTTGGTCCAGCTTACCCTCCCTGCAGGCTGCATGAAACGTTCTCTCCTGTGACGCATCGTGTGTCTGTCTCCTACCTAAGGATAGCTGTACTGAAATACGAGGGGAGTTCAATAAGTTTTGCATCTTGGGCATTTGTGTTTACACAAACAATGTCAACTTGTGGCAGGTGTGACACAGTCATAACATCAGGTTGACACGTGTCATAACAAGTTCCAGACACAACAATAAGTTAGATGTGATGGCTTCATTCACCTAAGGGTGGTCACAGTCATGGATTCTCTCAAACATGAACAACGCGCTGTAATTAAGTTCCTTACCAAGGAGAGATGCAAAGCAAAAGAAATCCGTATGTGAAATATGTGAATGTGGATTCGAACAGTTAAATCACCCACCCTACAGCCCAGACTTAGCCCCCACTGACTATTTCCTGTTCCGGCAAATGAAATCGCTTCCAGGATGACGAGGACATAAAGGCTGCCATAGAGGCGTGGTTAGAGGGCCAATCTGCGGATTGCTATAAAAGTGGTATTAAAAGCTTGAAGGACAAATGGAATAAGTGTATAGAGGTGAATGGAGATTATGTTGAAAAATAAAAGTGCAAAAGATATTCTGCGACTTGGTCTAATGTTGAAGTTGCAAAACTTGTTGAAAGCCCCTCGTATATTACAGAATGTGTGGTTAATATTTTCCGCGATTCCGTTTGGCTGATGTGGAATCAAGATTGAGCGTTATACTTTGATAACTCCAGAAAAACGTGCGACTCGCGATCGGAACTACCTTTTCCAAGGGGATTCTCTTAACATGTGCACCCAAACTTGCAACATTATTTTGAAACAGCTTAGTACAAGGAAACCCATTTATCGCACTGCCATGACATTACTGTCCGCGATGACCAATCAGTAAAACAGGTAGGCAAGGTTTTTTGTTTTGTTTTTAAAAATTTATGTTTATGTATTATGGTTTCTCAAAATCTTAGATTTTTTCCCGATACGATACTGAATCGAGTTTTAGTTTGGGATTGATCAGGAGCAGTCGCGTTTGCTCTGTGTCAGCGGCCACATCTGAGCAGGGTACGACATTGTTTTCATTGTTGCTAGATTCCTGTCATTTCCGAAAACAAGGCAATATCGCATAATAAATCAATTTCGTTCACCTCAGTAATTTTACAGAATTAATTTTCTTTACTTGCGTTATTAGTATTGAAAGATAGCCATTCCACATACAAATCACCGTAAGGACAATCCATTTTGTTTCATATCGTGGTTCAAGTAGTGGTACATATAGTGGTACATATAGTGGTTCATGTAGTGGTAATATGGTGGTACATATAGTGGTACCCATAGTGGTTCATATAGTGGTACATATAGAGGTACATATAGTGGTTCAAATAGTGGTACATATAGAGGTACATATAGTGGTACATATAGAGGTACATATAGTGGTACATATAGTGGTACATATAGAGGAACATATAGTGGTACACGTAGTGGTTCACATAGTGGTTCACATAGTGGTACATATAGTGGTTCATATAGTGGTTCAAATAGTGGTTCATGCAGTGGTTCGTGTAGTGGTTCATGTAGTGGTTCATGCAGTGGTTCATGTAGTGGTTCATGTAGTGGTACATATAGAGGAACATATAGTGGTTCAAATAGTGGTACATATAGAGGTACATATGGTGGTACATATAGAGGAACATATAGTGGTTCAAATAGTGGTACATATAGAGGTACATATGGTGGTACATATAGAGGAACATATAGTGGTACATAAAGTGGTACATATCGTGGTTCATATTGTGGTTCATATAGTGGTACATATAGTGTACATATCGGGGTTCATGTTGTGGTACATATAGTGGTACATATAGTTGTACATATAGTGGTTCATATAGTGGTAAATTATTATATGATCCTATTATTTACCGAAAGAGATTACACAGTGAGTAAAGGGCGACATAAAGATGAAAATTATATGATTGAATCACTGAAAAACAGTGAGATACCGGGTGTCTGCCAAAAAAGTAGCGAGTCCTGGGCCCACTTGCACAAAGCGATCTTAGCGCTAAGGTGATCGTTATTCCCATACTTTAACATAGGCTTACAATAGTCTTAGCACTAAGATCGTTTTGTGCAAGTGGGTCCTGCTCTACCGGAAGCCACTCACGCACACAACGTCATTAAAACGATAGATTCCAGTGAATATGGACGTGTAGAAACGGCATGAAAAGGTCATAGTATGGCATAGCATCACACATCATGTCGACAAGCGACGTGTCATATTTCGTAAATTTCTCTGAAAGTCCACCATGCATATTTTACAATTTTTATATTTCTGCAAGTGCGGTCTTTCGGGGATCTGATGAGACAACCGTTTCAAATCATCGTATTGGTTTGGTTCAAAACGCGAGTTGGGTAGGACATGGCTGTTCTCTTTAAACGAGTAGACACTTATCAAAATTATAATATATGTGGTAACAAAATGTGTCAATTTCTTATAAAAACATATATCACCATATTGCCTATTTCAGTTATTCAAAGTAGATAAGACGTCGACTCTATTATTTATAGAATCTTTTGCAAAAAAGTATTTTTATTCAAGGTGTCAGGGGCGGCCATGTCGAGAGTGCTGGATTTGCAGTGCAGAGTTGCCTCCCTTCGTCGTGTCCTTCTGGTCCCAGATTTGGACTGATCCTTGATTTGCCATGTGTCATGTATGGTATGTCGTGGCTTCCAACTTCCAGTGACCAGTACTTTAGTAACTGTTAAACTAGTAACCAGTAGTTTAATTAGTAACTGTTAAACTGGTAACCAGTAGTTTAGTAACTGTTAAACTAGTAACCAGTTGTTAAGTAACTGTCAAACTAGTAACCAGTAGTTTAGTAACTGTTAAACTAGTAACCAGTACTTTAGTAACTGTTGTACTAGTAACCAGTAGTTTAGTAACTGTTAAACTAGTAACCAGTACTTTAGTAACTGTTAAACTAGTAACCAGTACTTTAGTAACTGTTGTACTAGTAACCATTAGTTTAGTAACTGTTAAACTAGTAAGTAGTACTTTAGTACCATTGAAACAAGTAACCAGTAGTGTAGTTACTGTTAAACTAGCAGCCAGTAGTTTAGTTACTGTTAAACGAGTAACCAGGGATCCGTTCCACAAAGCTACCTTAGCGTTACGACTATCGTAGACCTATGTTAAAGTATGGGAAAAACGATCATCTCAGCACTAAGATCGCTTTGCGGAACGGGGCCCAGTTAAAAATACTGTTAAACGTTTCCGACCTGCTTCACTGTGGGCTTTTCGCAGACATGAGACAACATCGAGTAGACTCAGTCACACTTTAACTCACTTTCATTGAATAACATATTGAATATTTCACGCATTACTTCGTACGGAACGCCCAGGCAGATAGTGGAGTGAACTAATGTACCGAATGGTATGTGTGTCAGTCCCTCTGTCGTAAACCTTACAATGACCTACCCATGGTTTGTGAGGGTCACACCCTTACCCTTGGGGGTCAAGCATCCATTTCTCTTGTGGATCATGGTTCGTGTTATCAATCATGTTCTCCCCTTGACCAGATTCGTTTAGGTAGTTGGACATAGCTGGAATATGAATGCAGTCGGCCTGGAACAACATTTACTCCTTCCCTCACGAATTTAACATTTGTTTTCACCTGATTCATAGAGACCTGGGCCCTGTTCAACAAAGCGATCGTAGCACTGAGTGTCGTAAGGGGATGTTAAATTGTGGAAGTTACCATCGTCTTAGAGCTACAAGTGTCGTAAGGCGATGTTAAAATGTGGAAATTATGATCGTCTTAGTGCTACAAATGTCGTAAGGCGATGTTAAAGTGTGGGAATTACGATCGGCTTAGTGCTACAAGTGTCGTAAGGCGATGTTAAAATGTTGAAATTATGATCGTCTTAGTGCTACAAATGTCATAAGGCGATGTTAAAGTGTGGGAATTACGATCGTCTTAGTGCTACGAGTGTCGTAAGGCGATGTTAAAGTGTGGGAATTACGATCGTCTTAGTGCTACAAGTGTCGTAAGGGGATGTTAAATTGTGGAAGTTACAATCGTCTTAGAGCTACAAGTGTCGTAAGGCGATGTTAAAATGTGGAAATTATGATCGTCTTAGTGCTACAAATGTCGTAAGGCGATGTTAAAGTGTGTTAATTACGATCGGCTTAGTGCTACAAGTGTCGTTTCGCGATGTTAAAATGTGGAAATTATGATCGTCTTAGTGCTACAAATGTCATAAGGCGATGTTAAAGTGTGGGAATTACGATCGTCTTAGTGCTACAAGTGTCGTAAGGCGATGTTAAAGTGTGGAACTTACGAACACCTTAGCACTTCGACAATCGTAAGTGTATGTTAAAGTATGGGAATCACGATCGTTTTGGCACTACGACAGTCGTATGTTTAAGTATGGAAGTTACGATCCCCCTAGTGCTGCAGTCGCTTTGTGGAACGGGGATCTGCTTGATGCACCTGCTGCTGTGCACATCACCTTCTCGTTTTCAGCATCAGTATTCACAGTGTTCGAAATACCTGCCTGCCTGACCGTCCGAGACGGGTTGATTTCAACTCGGGCTGCCAGATTTTCAAATCCCCCTGACAGCGACGGTCGGGTTATATTTCATATGTGAAAATATTCTAAATAATTCCCGATGATAAGCATTAATTCACATGTAAAGATGAATGATAAAATGTAACCAAAAAGAAACCCCGTTAGCTTATCCTGAGAAACATATGATTATAGTGGGCAGGCGGGTTTTGGTCAGGGCTGGTAAGTATTTCAGGTAGCCAGTCCTGTGGACTGGCTGAAATTTTTGGGAGTTTCATACCAGTTAACTTACAATGTGTCACGTGATCATAGTAAAATGTAACACCTGGCGTCATCGCTGATATCGATTTATCGAGTGAGTGAGTGAGTGAGTATGGTTGTACGCCGCTTTGAGCAATATTCCAGCAATATCACGGCGGGGGACTCCAGAAATGGGCTTCACACATTGTACCCATGTCGGGAATCAAACCCGATTCTTCGGCGTGACGGGCGAACGCTTTAACCACTAGGCTACCCGACCGCCCCGATATCGATTCCTTAACACATACTTATGATATAGTCGGAATCGTATAATAGACACTGCTGTTAGAAATATTTCTTATGATTACAGAGATGGTTTTACATCGTGGAAAGTCCCAAAGTTATGTTAAGATACTTTTTCACCATTGCCAAACACAAGCCTTATATGAGTAATTGTGGTAAACGTCAATCCATCACAGGTGGGGCATCATTTAACGACTGTTCACAGCACATATGCATAAATACAAACACGCCTTGAAACAGTATTGTGAGTTCCGAGTGGTGACGAGGGATTTCACTGTAACTTTATATTTATAATGGAAAGGGGCGCAAAGATTTCCCAGTCGTCTTAGACGCCGCCATACGCTATGCAGAGTTGCGTCCCTAGTAATGCCTTTCGATTGTGGATTCGAACCCCGGTTCGCCCTGAGTATGTTTCTAGGTTTGTCAGCATCATAGCCATGCTCGTCGGTTTCACCAAAGAGGTAAAGTCTGAAACCTGCATCACTTCGAGCTTTCGTCCTACATTAAGCTGACACGCCGTGATATAACTGGAACATTGTTAAAGCAGCGTTAAACCAAACCCCACTCCCTCACTTTAATTGGAAAGCCTTTGTTGGATATCTATTGTCTTCATGGGTGCCGCTTATCTAAAGGGAAATTCATATTGCACAGTTGATTATCACTGAATAATGAAAAAAATATATGATATTAAATATGTACATAAGAAAATAACACACTTACTACTATAACCACAGTTTAAGACATGTAGAAAATTGGACAATATCACAGTGACGACAAGAATTGGTATTGAACAGAAATAAACAAAGGCTTTTGCGATCTAGATATAGTGTTTATTTCCGCAATAATTAGAGTATAATCAAGCATCAAATTTCATGAAGAAACAACTTGACTCAGAAAACACATTTTTCATTTTAATCTATATTTTAACACATACCGTTTTGTAAGCCTAATTTACCTACAACGACTCTCTTGTTGAGAGTTTATACATTGCTCTTTGACACAAGAATGTCAAACACGGCCTTATGTTTTTCGTTTGCTGCTATCATAGCTGCTGTGTACCCAAATTTGTTCTTGCCGTTTATGTCCACATACTCATGTGATATGAGATACGTCACCATCTGTAGGCGTCCGGCAAGAGAGGCCAGATGAAGGATGTTGTGACCGTTATCATCAACTAGGGACACATCAGCTCCTTGCTTTACAAGTAAATCAAACGTTTTCCTGTGTCCCTTTTCTGCTGCTACCATCACTGGAGTTCTTCCGTAGTTTCCTTTACAGTTTATGTCCACGGTGACCTTTGAGAGGAGGTATTGCACCATTTCTACATGTCCTCCAAAACAGGCCACGTGAAGGATGGTGTCATTGCTATCATCAACAAGGAATACGTCAGCTCCTTTGCGTACAAGCAGATCAAACGCTTCCCTGTGTCCGTACTCTGCTGCTATCATCACTGGCGTTCGACCGAAGTGCCCTCTTGTGTTTATGGCTGCAGTATTCTGTGAGAGAAGATATTCAACCATCTCTACATGTCCTCCAAAACAGGCCACGTGAAGGATCTTGTCACTGTTGTTATCAACTAGAGACATATCAGCTCCTATGCTAACAAGTAGATCATACGCTTCCCGGTGTCCGTACTCTGCTGCAATCATCACTGGCGTACGTCCGTAGTGACCTCTAGTGTTGATGTTTGCAGTATTCTGTGAGATGACATACTTCATCATTCTTACATGTCCTGTAATACAAGCAATATGGACGGTTTTGTCATAATAATTATCAAATAGCGACGCATCAGCACCTTTACTCAACAGAAGGTCATAAACATCTCTATGTCCATCAAATATTGCCATCATCAGTGGTGTCCTCCCATACCGATCTCTGCTGTTGATGTCAACGATGCCCAGTGGAAGAACAAACTCTATTATATCCAAACTACCTCCATGACAGGCCGCTTGAAGGATGTTGTCACCATTTTTGTCAACTAGTGACAGATCACCCCCATTACTCACAAGAAGGTCAAACACATGCTTATACCCTAAGAAGGCTGCCAACATTGATGGTGTCATTCCGTCCTTTGCGTCTTTATTGTTTACCTCGACTCGACCGTCAGACAAGATGCGTTTTATTCGGTTCAGGCATCCCTGTCTGCAGGCATCATGAAGAATGCTCTCCCGTGACTTGTGAAGTCTGTGCGTCTGTGTTCCTCCTGCAGGTAGGTCAATTAATAACAGTGAATTACAATAATTGACTTTTAATTTAGCATATCTATATCACAATTTCTTTAAAAGCTCGATTAATCCTGATTTGTAGCAATGCATCGGTTTACATGTGTAATTGCATTTGATTATTGAGACCGAAATACGCTCTAAACCACTAAATTGCAAAAAAAACAAAAATGGACAGTTATTTTTTGTATCCGTGAAACAATGTGAGAATTTATGTATTTCAGACAGGTATTAATACGTTTTCTGATTGATGTTCTAAAAAAGATCAGTATGAATTATCACCAAGAAAAATGCCATATTGCACTGAAGGAAAACTAAATTGTTTGATGACAGCTTTATGGCTTTCACCAAATGTGAACATGGTAAAGGTCTCCCAGAGATGTGACATGATGACAATTCAGTTCAGGTAAAGCTTCCTGAATACCTGTGTTTCAGCGTATATCAGCAAAAGAAGTAGTATATATGATGGGGGTAAGGGGGCCCCTGGCAATGCTCCCATGGGTCTTAAGTTTTATTAATTATGTGATGACAATCATCACATAATCAATATAACTTAAGACTCCATCGATCTTTGGTATGTAGGGATATTTAGATATGTAAGTATACATGATAATCACTCTTTTGGTTTTATTAAATATTTGGCTAAATATACACCCATACCAAACATATAATTCTTTACAATATTTGACTCAGAATTGTGGACAATATATAATATTGTTCCTAAATATGGAGAGTGGATATTGTACATTAAAGTTGAACATTTATCATCCTATAAACGATTCTTAGAACTCTCACTAATATTCCAGCTATCGAATATTTCAGATAGAAACGAGGTACTTACTCTTTACACAGACAACCTTTCCAACCCGAGTCTCCAGACATCGGGACATGAGATTGCAAGACTTGGCTACACAGGAGCCAGACCAGACCTTCAGACAGGGAATGTATAGAAAGAATTAGAGAGAGATGTATGGTGCTTTTAGGGAGCATCCATTTGATTTGCATGAGGGGATTTTTTATTGAGAACAATTTTTTTAACTAGTTGTATCCAACAACCTATCTATTTACTAAGCACTATCAAACAATCTCTTCATTTCCACTACTAACACAAACCTTTCACGTTTGGGTATTTTCTACAACTTTGTCACCACTGCCATCAAACTATTCATTCTGGGCATATTTCTGAACAAACTACGAGTATTCATTTAATTATAACCCCCACTCCCATCTCTCGAGAAATCTTGAAAATGGATGCTCATTTAGTGCTTTGGTGTTTTTCGATGATCAATTAAATGATATTATAACTTTCGGGCATGCTCTTTTCTGATTTGTTAAAGAATCGGAAATTTCATAACCCAGAATCAGCGTTTTTTCACCCAAAATAAGTGGTGTTATCATTCAGAATCAGAGGTGTTATCACTCAGAATCAGAGGTGTTATCACTCAGAATAAGAGGTGTTATCACTCAGAATGAGAGGTGTTATCACTCAGAATCAGAGGTGTTATCACTCAGAATCAGAAGTGTTATCACTCAGAGTCAGAAGTGTTATCACTCAGAATGAGAGGTGTTATCACACAGAATCAGAGATTTAGTCCTTACAACCTGACGCTGATCAAAAGAGCCAAAATGCCACACCCTACAGAGTTTAATATAGTCAATAATAGTTTGTTGGCGTTTTCAAATATGACTTCTTGACTCGAAAATACAGATTGTTCATCAATACATCGCAAACACACAAAAAACACAAAAAGAGAGTTTCAAGATGTATATACAGATAAGAGACAATGAATAGTTATGTGAATTTATTCTGTTCGAATTTTGACGATAATTCATGTATTTACTTATATCATTCATAGATTAGAAAAATGCTGTTGCACCACTTGTAAAATTAACATTTCAGCCAGATAGCAAGGGGACACGAGACACCAGAATTACACATTGTACCCTTGTGGTGAATTGTCCCGGGAGGGCCAGTGCATTAACAACTACGGTGTCCCATCTTTCTACCAGATTTAGATGATCTCAACATAAGATATAAATACATGCTTACATGGGAATGATTCTTTGGAAGAACAATGTATCCCTCTCTCTCCTTTATCTTCTTAGATCCAGACAGACGACAGATTAGTTTTTCGTTGCTGTATTCGATATTGAAACATATGCCGTTCTCAATACATTTTACTTGACACAACGTGATGCCAATGTTCCTGATGATGACAAAGTATTTGTTTTGAAGTGCACATGGCTTTTGCGTGTATGCACACACATCACATATGCACATGAAATAAACTGTTAATGCTGGGAGGAGAAGCCACGAGTCATATGAACACAGGGGCAACATCTTACAGTGTCCCCAAAGATGACAGGATTCAAAACCTCACAGTCCTGAGACTAACACTCTGTAAGCTTTGCCTACAAGACAGGGTGTTTAGGGAGCACAGGATACAAGATTACACAGTCCATAGGTTTCACATCCCTTGTCTTGATTACTGATAAGAAATATGTGAACTAAGGTACATTCTTAAAACATGGTTGACAGTGAAATATAGACACTGAAAAGCTCGGTACGATAAATATTTCATGCTATGAAAGCAGAATAAACTCTTATCCGTAAAAGTGTCACCGTGCAATCACTTTGTCAAAGACAGCAAAGGTGAAGGAGGCAAGTACATGTATGTCCCTGTGGATACACAGATGATTAATGAAATAGTTGATGGTAGCTGAGTATCAAACTCTCAGACAGCGTAGATATAGCACTGGGTGAGTGAGTGAGTGAGGTTTTACGACGCTTTTAGCAATATTCAAGCAATATCACGGCGGGGGACACCAGAAATGGACTTCACACATTGTACCCATTTCGGGAATCGAACCCGTGTCTTCGACGTGACGAGCGAACGCTTTAACAACTAGGCTACCCGACCGCCCCAGATATAGCACTGACTATGCAAATGGCTGAAATGCAGTAATGTAATCTGGGTCGTCCAATGGTCATCCGGCCATTAGATTCAAGGATAGCAATGACCAGACTTTTTCAGCGTGCATGGATGCTTTCATTCTGGGTATTGTAAGTGCCCTTTGCATAATACATCAAGTCGGCAGACTCAGATATACATAACGATAATCCTCAAAGAATCCCACGTCCTTCACATTCTTTCCAAAGGCTCAGAATGTTAGGAATGTAATTCATGTTCTGAGATTACAACAAACCATTATCATAAAAGCTAAGATGGATTCATATGTTGGACAAATCGCTCTTATCGTTACATTGATAAATCACATGAGCAGTTGTATAAGGTAAGAAGCAAGTACCTATTCCCAAGTACCTCAATTTTTTAATACAAAAGATAAATTAATACCATCAGAGCGATTGAAAAACGACATCTTTTGTGAAATTTATTTGGCTTACATGAATGAATTATCCTTTCTATTATTCATCCTCTATCCTACAGGAAACGTTCTCGATAATCACATGCACACATTCATGTATAACACATACATACATGGATACAGACAGGTGGGGTGAGGTGAAATTGGGTTTAACGTCGCGTCCAAGATTATTGCACTTATATTGCGACGTGCATGTACGTGTGTGTGTATGTGTGTCTGCTTGTACTAGTCCGGACTGATGCCGATTTATAGTGCTAGCTCACTGAGATACCATGCCGCAGTTTAACATGACTACCCCACTCAGACACAGTATACTGACTCCGAGCCGACCAGTCCTTGTTTTAGCCCATTAATGCCGAGCGCCAGACAGGGTAACAACAAGTACCATCTTTTAACGTCTTTTGGTACGAACCCCGAACCTAGACCACGGAGGCGTTCGGATACAGACAGACAGACACTACTTACAATACATGAATGAAAGTTAAGGAAATATACCGTCAAAGCAGTCGATCTTATGAGATGTCCATAGAAACCAATTGGACTCGACTGTTGTGTACAGCAATGCCATGTGGATGTTATGACAAAATGACGTATGCAGCCTTTCCTTTCCAACTCACGCAATGTATTGAGTCTATTTCGGGCATCCCAAAGGAGGCATCACAGTCATTGTCAACAGAAATGTCAAAGTCCCAATGATGCCATTGATTTGGAAGATTTGTTTACTCTCCCCCAGGAAATTTGGAACTGTGCAAGGAGATCTGTGTTGTTAAAAGGGCCCCCAGTATCCGGTAGCGAGTGCTTGATATGGCGTGGAAACGTTTGGCCAAATCAGCAACAGGCTAGGCTCCACTAAATCAAACAAAAGCAGCATGTTCCTTACTTTGAAATTTGCAAAGAAGGGATTTGATGCTTTGAACTTAAGTAACATGATCAATTCCCTGAATGTCCCACAATATTTCAAACTTCAAGAACCACCAACAGTTTCATTTTCTTATACGAACACCATCTCATCCAAAACGTGGACTTTCTATGCCAGCACTCATCATACTCCTACCAACCTGTTGGTCATATCATCACAGGTAACATCACTAGTGTTGACAATGTCAAATATGGCCCCAATCTCGAGTACAGCCTGCTATCAATTGGTATCACAACTTTAAAATCATTATGATGCTGTCAAAACAAATGCCCTACAAATGGGCCAACAGAGAAGATGAATGTCCTTTAGAGTGGATTACGTGAGTTTGTGATGTTGTCATTACCAGGTTTCACAAACGGAAACAGAGGACACACACTTGGGATAAACCTATTCTGTCCCAGCCAGCTGTCTTCAGAAGTCTGGCTGCCCTACATGAAAGGTTTGTAATTGACTTTTCAACTTTGTACAGATTAAAACAGTTATAATCAGTGCTCTTAAGTATAACAATTACTCAAGGATGACTACAATACGTGAGCATGAAGAGAGAAGTTTGAGAAGAGAAAAACTTAATTCCTTTTCCATGGGGCATTTGTCACTAAACTAGATATAGTCACATCTCTATCGGCAACATCTAGGACAATTTGTCAAAAATGGAAGCAAAAGTCATCTACAAAGTCATTTGTGAAATGCTGGAGTGCCTGTCTCTCGGAATATCAGAATGTGCCTATTTCAGACATGTTTAAGAAGTTGTGAGTCTTAATATGTCATATACATTGATAGTAAGAACAGGTAGTGATTAATGGTAATAGACATACTTCATGTTGGCAGGCAACAATTCAGCAGACGTCCGCAGCTGATGAGAAATATATACCGTATTCGCCGCAATAAGCGTCCAGGGCGCTCTCGAAATTAGAAATAAGGGGCTCTTATTAGAATATTATTTTGGTGAAAAATAAGTTCAAAGATCGTAAATTTCGTGATTTATATACGACAGATATATCTTTCCAGAAGTTAATTGCCCATAATTAAGGGTGCATTTAACACACGAGTGCGTAGTATACACGAATAAGTAAGTCATGTGTGCATTGATCAATCGGAAGGGGTGCTAATTTGGATTGTTCACTAGCCAAAATATTCGCAAATATCGCCGTGGCGCTTATTAGAGCGGGGCGCTTATTACGTCGAATACGGTATATATTATGAAAACTTACGTTTTGCTACAAGGTATAAAACTTCGGAAAACATTCATTTGTGCAACAATTTGGTCTCATACGGACATTTGGTATTTTAGCTCACCTGACCAAAACAAAATAATGTACACTGGTCAGTGTTGAAGGAGTGGTTTCAAATCCCGGTTTGCCCCGATTATGTTTCAAGGTTTGTCAGCACCATACCCGTGCTCATGGGTTTCACCGAAGTGGTAAACGTCTGAGGCCTGCATCACTTGAGGATTTCCTCCAACATTAACCGACACGCCGTGATGTAACTGAATCTGACCCTTGAAGGATAATATAATGCGAATTAAAACTGCACTCCGTATCCTTTGTATAGCAGGATGGATACAGATTAGTGACCTACTTTAACATGTGTGAATTTGGTAATCAAAATAAACCATAAGAAAACATTTGTAAGAGTATCAGATGTCATCATAACCAGTGAAGATTTATCGGGAAAACGCCAGCAAAGAAAACATCTTTTGGGACATGACGATCATTTGTCTGACTACTTGGCCAATCATGAATTAGGGGATCGACTACCAGTCATAAAGGAGGGCCAGATCTAACTACTGAAGATGTCTGGGAACACGTTTCGTTGGGGCATATCTGTTCTGTTGGGAAGAGGTCAGGGAACGTCCCATATCAAAGTCTGCAGTCACAGTCTTTATAGGTGAGCCTTCTTCAGCAACCCATTATTGTCTTTAGAAGCGACTATGCTTGTCGTAAGAGGCGACTAACGGGATCGAGTGGTCAGAATCACTGACTTCGTTGATGCATGTCATTGTATCCCAATTGCCTAGATCGATATTCATGATGTCAATCACTGGATTGTCTGGTCCAGATTCGATTATTTACAGGCCGCCGTCATATAGCTGGAATATTGCTGAGTGTGGCGTTAAACAACGAAACAAACAAACATTGTGGGTGGTCTGGGACGTTGTCATCCTGGGACACGTTGCCATGGCACTGAGCAGCTACAAGGTGGTGATGATGTTATTCGCGGTAGTCGGCATCAGAGATGTGGAGATCAGTTTTGCCGG